AACAATTAAGAAAATCCCCATTGGCTAGCTTCCATTTAACTTTATTTTACAATCCCACATATTTTGATTTTAAAAATAATTTTGTATGAGATTTTGAAACTCTCAAAATATTTAACTTTAAAATAATTACAATCCCACATCAAGAAAAAGAAAGAAAAAATGAATTGTTTTACTTATATAAAGTGAATCTGATACTCTCATTTAATATTATAATATTGTGCATGTTTCAGTTCAAGATGATTTAAATTTTAAACTAAAATTTAAAGGTTTTAATTAATTAATTTTGTTGTAAATTGGTTGGTCTTTTGACTTAGCCGATTAGGCAGAATCGTTTTAGGTTTGACTGATTCACTGGTTTAACCACGATTTTAGCTGTTTTATCAAAATATATTGCTTAGATTTGTTTGATTTGAAATAAACTACAACTGACCTTATTAAAAATTGAACGATTGAGATTGCTTGTTTAGAAATGAGCTTTCTGTCTAAACAACTGTTAACTTTTCTTTTACAATCCCACATCAGGAAAAAGAAAAAAAAAATGAGTTGTTTCACTATGTAAATCTTATGCTCCCATTTAATATTATAGTGTTGTATTTGTTTCAGTTTAAGACAGTTTAAATTTTAAAATTAAAATAAGATTTAAAAGTATTAATTAATTAATTAATTTTTATATAAGTTGGTTGGTCATTTGACCTAGTTGATAGGGTGAACCGTTTTTGGTTTGACTGATTCGCTGGTTTAACTGCGATTATAGAGATTTTATTAAAATATATTGGTTAAATTTATTTGATTTGAAATAAATTAAAGATTGATTTAATTAAAGATTAAACGGCTAAGGTTGCTTGCTTTGAAATAAATTTTTCGCCCAAACAATTGTTAACTTTTAAATAATTAAGAAAATCTCCATTAGCTAACTTTCATTTAACTTTTATTTTATAATCACACATCGAGAAAAGAAGAAAAAAGTGAATTATTTCACTTACATAAAGTGAATCTTATACTACCATTTATATAAGCAAAATGAGATTTTTAATGAGAAGTTTTATGATCAATATCTCATACTAATGTTTTGATATTCTTAATTTTAAACAATTAAGAAAATTCTAATTAGTTAGTTTTCATTTAACTTTTATTTTACAAAATATAAAAAAAAATTAAATATAATTATCATATTTTTATTAAATAATATATTATTTTATCCCGTGCATAACATGAGTGACATGCTAGTAATTAAATAAAAGAAAGTCCAAGAGACAAATATAAGAACTAATTTTAATGGAGAAGTAGTGATGAGTGGAAGAACACATGAACATTTCATTTTTATTTATTTTTATTTTTTTTTTAAGATAGGAAGAACACATGTACTTTATTGGTCTAATTTGAGCAACTGGTCAGCCACGACAGTACTCCAACTAGACCCATAACATGATTCACATTTTGCCATGACTCTGGCTTCCTTCTGGTCTATAATCTGAATTAGGAGGTATTGTTTAAATTCATGAGATTCATCATAGTTTTTATTTTGATAATTTAAATTATTTATTTTGTTAAATTCTTCATGTCCATAATTCATAAAAAAAAT